TAACGTTCAATATTTTGTTTATGACTTAAACGTAAACAGATTATGCCTTTAAAAACTCTGCAGATGGTAGCTAGAACGAATGTATTTTTTTGTGTGTGAGGAAGATCAGCCCTGTGCTAACATCTGTCAATCCTCCTCTTTTTTTTGCTGAGGAAGACTGGCCCTGGGCTTACATCCGTGCCCATCTTCCTCCACTTTATATGGGACACCACCACAGCATGGCTTACCAAGCGGTGTGTCAGTGCGCGCCCGGGATCCGAACCAGTGAACCCCGGGCCGCCGCAGCGGAGCGCGCGCACTTAACTGCTTGCGCCACCAGGCCGGCCCCAAACGAATGTATTTTTTAAATAATTACTCAAAAAAATCTTGATATCCTGAATGTTAAAACAAAATCAAGATGAAAAATTTCAGAAATGAATCTAAAGTTCCTTATTTAAGTATTTTTACACATCAATTAAACAACATAATAATAAAAGAGAAGGACTGCATTGACAAGAGTGTAAACAAATAAACAAACAAAAAAAGGGAATGTTAATTAACCAGAAGCACAAGGAGCTAATACTTGCCTTAAAAAAAAAAGTGTGATCAAATGCTACTTCGGTAGAAGGACATTATTTAGAAGAGGAAGATAACAGGAGCACTATTTTTAAGCATAGCGATTACTGTATCACTTCTGGGCTCCCCACCTTTAGCAAGATCCTGGTAAGACAACTGAGGCATGATGAAGCATTTATTATATGAGATACAGTTGACTAATCTATAGCTGTTAAGTCTGGAGAAGGCCTAAGAGAATGTAGAGCCCCCCTACCCCCCTTTAATTCCTAGGTAATAGCAGAGAAAGCTCTAAGGCCAAGACTGGTTAGGCCTGGAGGACTTAGAGCTTCCACAAGGAGGATTCAGATAGATTATCAAAAAAAGTAAGAACCTCAACTTTCAAGTATCAAATCTGATTTCCAAGCGAATTGAATACCATATAGTGAAGATTATTATAAAAAAACTTGAGGATCACTAAAGTCTAGCCAATACAGCATTGTTCTTGTAGCTGTTATTTTGAAATTCTGTTCGCATTAAAATGCTCCATTTCCAAGGATGAAACACCATTCAGGTGGTAACAACTTAAAGCACATTTAAAGTGGCCCTAGTAAAGAAAATCTCTATATTGATACTGTCATTTAAAATTATAATTTACTTCTCTTAGAGCTTTAGGAGAGATAGTCGGTAAAAATGAGATAAACACAAGCATCTTTGATCAACTAAATCCAAAACGACACGCTCAAGTTTTTCCTCCCTTTAGGAATAGTTCTTTAGTGGACTTTGCATCAATCTAGGAAAGAAAGTTCATAAATATGTCTTGATATTTCAAATTCCCACACAGATGTGATTCTCTCTCCTCTAAACTGTAAACACAGTGCTTTATACCACCGGATGACACTTGGTCCATACAAACTATCTAATACTATAATCTATATCTAACACTGTAATACTATACATATATACATATATGTCAAGGATCAACCAACATACATTTTGTATCAACTATGCCCTGCCCCCAAGAATTACATTCTACAGAGGAGACAACCAATAAACATAAACATAAACATAACATAAACATAACAATAACTCCAATGAAAAGATTAAATATGGTAATATAGTGTATTGTGTATGGCAGAGGCTGCTGTTGTACTTTGGTTGGTCAAGGCCACTCTAAACTCAGACGTTCTTGGGCCGGCCCTGTGGCTTGGTGGTTAAGTGGCCCGGGTTCGGATCCCGGGTGCGCATCGAGGCACCACTTCTCTATTCATCCTGAGGCCGAGTCCCACATACAGCAACTAGAAGGATGTGCAGCTACGACACACAACTATCCACTGGGGCTTTGGGGGGAAAAAATAAAATAAACAAAATCTTTAAACTCAGACGTTCTTCCTTAGAGTGGCCTCTCTTGACCATACTAGTAGTAGGCCACCGCATTAGAGACCTATTAGCCATGCAAAGAGTCTGGGAAAGAGCATTCCAGGTAGAAGGAAAGGCAAGTGCAAAAACTCTTGAGATCAACATAAGCTTCATGTGTTTACAAAATTAAAAAAAACAAAAGCCAAGATGGCCTACTATGGTGAACAGAGGAGAAAAAAGAGAAATAAAGATTAAAGGTCAGGGGACCACATAGGGCACTATTAGCCACAATAACAAATTTAATTTTATTCAGTTTCAGTGAGAAGGGGTGGAAGGTTTCAAGCCATGAACTAATGTAAAGCTTCGAAAGATCACTCTGGCTACTTTGTGAACGACAGATTTTGTGAGGCAAAAAATGTCTGATAGATCAATTGGTAGGCTGCTGCAACAGTCAAGGCAAGAGATGATGGTGGCATGGATAAGTGATGAGAAATGGAGATGGCTAGAGGTCCCTGCATTGGAAGTGTTATCTACAAAATTTTACTGATGGACTATTTGTGAGGTACAAGCAACTAGGCGGACATCTGTGCTATATACTGAGATGGGCATGTATTTTTGTAAGTATTTTGTGTGGTGAGAGTAAACAGACTTGTGAGCTGAGATCAACAGTAATGTTTTGGACTTATAAAATGTGAACGCCTAATTGACATACAAGTGGAAAAGCTGAATGGGCAATTAGCTCCACGAGGCCAGAGCTCAGGGGCAAAGTCTGTGCTGGAGAAGGAAATGTGAGCATTGTCAATGCATAAATAGTTAAAACTATGGATTTACCATGAAATTACCATGAGATTACCATGAAAAGAGGGCCCAGGATGGAGCTCTGGGGCACCTGAATATTAGCAACCTGATGGAATAAACAGTCCCAGAAAAGGCAATTGAGAAAGACTGAGCAGTCAGCAGAAGGGAAGCCAGGCAAACGTGCAAGAGTTTCAAGCATAATGTCAAGTCATATGAGGACTGAGACGGTGCAGGCAAGATGTAGCTTCCTGGTGACCTTGAGAAAAGGTCCGTCAGTGGAGTGGGGGTTTCGCCACCCAATTGGAACGTTTTAGTTCCACTACTGGGCATTTCATTAAGTCCAGTCTTATATTTGTATTTTCATTTATTTATGAAACATGAAATATTTGGGATCACTTTCTCCAACACTTTTGTACCTATATACTCTAAAAAAAAAGTAAACTGAATGAATATTGCTTAAGATATCTTCAAAATATTTCAAGATTACCTCTCTTCAACTGGACATTATAAACTGCAGTTATCTGCCAATCACTAGATTTCTTTCTAACACATCCTTGTTCCTTTCATATCCAGAAGAACCAATCATTTACTGGCAAAACAGTAAAAATAATTTCTTATTGTAGCAGGTGATTTGACTTGCTACATTAAAAACTCCAAGTAGCTTTAAAAGAATAATTATAACGATAGTAGTCTGATTCAATGACTTCAAATGTCATTGCAATCGCCTTTAACTTACATAACTCTGTCTTCACCACATAGCAATTTAAAAATGGTGGTAATCAAAATTTAATGTGAATAAGAATCACCTTGGTGCTTATAAATGTAGATTATAAGGTGCCCCCAGGTGGGGTATGGGTTATGAGGTGAAGCTTTGTTTTTTTTTTTTTAAGTTACCTTTTTTAAAAGCTATCTTTGAAATTCTGACAGACAGTCCATGAATCATACTTTGAGAGACGATATAGAAGCTTAGAACAGAATAATGTATATAACAAAAAACCCTTGGAAAAATCATTTTTGCCTACCCCAACCCCTGCCAAGTATTAGACTTGCTATTTCTCTCACAGTCAGAGTCATTTTGACAACTGTCAAGCACCTGTTTTGTGCCGAGTTAAATTAAGTTTAAACATTTCCAAAATCTTGATGTTTAATTTTTTTCATCCAATATGTGTACATGTATGCTTATGTATATGCTTATATAATGCTAGATTGAACAAATTATATACCTGCATAGCAACCTTACAAAACTACTATGACCCTTGAATATGTATTCATAAACTTAGAAAATTCTTTTAAATAGTTATCTCAGACAAGGACTCACCTGCATTTCTGCAACTTGAATGTTTAAGTGGATGTGGAGAAGCTGATGTCAAAAGACCTATTTCAACAACTGAACTTGCACTGTATGTTTTTGAATGAGTATAAATAAATCCTCATTTATCATTTTCTGCTGAATTTACACCTATATAAGGCTAGAAATTGCATTTCCAACAGGCTTCCCATTCACCATCACATAAAAGCAGTTTCCTGATTGTTCATAAAACCCTTTAACATTTTCCGTAAAACTTACTCTAAGGCTGAGTAGAGAGTTTTCAGAAAAAGGGGAAATAAGACAAGTGATCACTTCTAATATTTTAAGTGAGAGAACAGGTAAACCACAGTAGAGGAAAAAGGCTGGGGGGAGGACAGTGATGATATGAAACTGTTTGAAATAAGAAATGAAATCAAGAATTAAAAATAGAATTACAGGGGCCGGCCCTGTGGCTTGGTGGTTAAGTGCGTGCGCTGCGATGCTGGCGGCCCGGGTTCGGATCCCGGGTGCGCATCGAGGCACCACTTCTCCGTTCATCCTGAGGCCGAGTCCCACATACAGCAACTAGAAGGATGTGCAGCTACGACATACAACTATCTACTGGGGCTTTGGGGGGAAAAAATAAAATAAAAAAAATCTTTAAAAAAAAAAAAAAAAAAAATAGAATTACATTTTCTGTTTGGCAACACACAAACAACACTAAGTGCACTTCATAAATTTTACTATTGTTGCTCTAAGTGATATTACCATAAATCACATTAGTAGTGTACTTGGCATTTTTTAAAAGCAAAAAGGATTGAGAGTGTCAATAAGTTTAAACAGCTCTGTTATCTATGAAGAGAGTGCAAGAGAAATTATCACAAGCTTTTACTAGGTCTAAAAGCCCAGTTCTAGCCCCACCTCATTGCTATCCCTCTCCCTCCAGCTGCAGCACAATATAGAGCATCATTTTGCCAGCAGTCTATTAGAAAAATGTCCATCGTTGCTTTCCTGATGCTTTTACCTGATGTGCGAGGGGAGATGGCTGTTTGCCCCTTTTCTCGTCGCGGACAGGGAACAGAGACTTCAGCAGCTTTGGCATCTGTGGCACAAAGGATTTTACTGGGTTCAAGTAGGAGGCTGCTAGGCTACTAAATCCTGGCAACAATATTGAAAGGAAAAGAGATAAGACAAAAACAATTACATACACATTTTCTTTACTGTAAATTTGCCAAATATCATTCATAAGCAAATCTAACAATATAAATCAAAAAAGTATCCTTAAAAAAAGTAATATTAGAAAAACATAGTATTATTATAGTTATCCTCAAACACAATGGTCTTTCCTTTTCCAATTGAATAGGAACAATTGGGGTACTTCTAAAATGTTCTAATATCCAGTGTTCCTAATAGTTATCTGAAGGGTAATCTAACGCCAGTGCTTGTCACTAACTGGTTCAAGTACTAACTTCTGCCATAGAAGAAAATGGGGTTTTTCATTTTTAAATCACATAGCCGATGACACACATGCATAGCTCTCCATGTAGACTTTAAACTCTTCAAAGTCAGAAACTATGTCTTATTTATTTTAATTTTTCATGCTATTTACTGAGTGAAGATGATGAAACTGACCTTTCAGGAAAAGAGTGGTATTTGAGTTGTTTCTACAAGACAGGAATAGATGCCCTGAACCAACCATGTTCTCACCTGCTCTTAACTACCAAAGGCTGGGAACAGACCTGCAAACAATGCCTATGATAAGAGAAGATTTCTTTCCCCTTAGTGAGTAAAACTAAATTTTTAGGAAAATCTAATTCAAGTTATAAGTGGTGAAACACTGTATCCTCATAACATTTTTAAAAGAACACGCAAGTCAACTTGAGGAATTTGTATGAGATAATGCCTGAAGAAGAAGCACACAACCACCCCCAGACCTCTGCTCCGCCCCGAATGACTCCAAGTTCACTGGCAATACAGTTGGTACGTGGACCTATACAGGTGTGAGGTTTCTACATTTTACATAAAGTAGTACAATATTAACTTTAAACTGTGAAAAGGTAAGGATATTTTGTAATCATGAGAGTAATCACTAAAAAATAAAGCAAAGAGAAAGCCATAATGCCAAAAGATACATTAAAACTGAGTTTAAAAAGTCAACGATTTACAAGAAGGCAAAGATAGGGAAGAGAGAAACAAAAAAAGAGGAGACAAACAGAAAATAAGTTTAAGATGAATAAAGAGCCAGAAGATAAATCATCTAAATGCTGAGAAAAAATTAGGATCAATCTAGAGTTCTATATGCAGTTACACTAACATTCTAGAGTGAGGATGACCCCTCATTAAATAAAGATCTAGCCAATAATCAACCAAGGGCTGCACATATCACAAAAAGAGAGACAATCAGAAACGATGCGTCTCCTGAGGGAAGTACACAAAACTACCCATTCATTTATCCTACCTCCCACCTCTCCCTGGAATTAGCCTGAATCTGATCAAGGCTATAGTGCCAACTACCAATTTACAGGAAATACAGGGACAAAGAATCATGTTTAAACAACCTCATGGGGATATAAACAGCAAAAATAAGAACATACAGAGTCTACTATACAAACACCTGGTCTCTTCAAGAAATACAACGCAACAGGAAAAAGCGAGAGAGAGGTGCATATGGATCAGACAGACGAGACACACGTCCACTAATCACAATGCATGAACCTTACCTGGATTTTCACTCAAAATAACTAAAAGATATTTCTGATCCAACTGTGGAAATCTAAACACTAACTAGATGTTTGATGATATTTAGGAATTATTTTTAATTTTTCTTAGGAGTGAAATGTTATTGTGGGTATTGCTTTAGAGATACCGGTACAAATATTTACAGATGAAGTTAACATCTGCGATTTGCTTCAAAACAATCATGAGAGGGTGTGGAGAAGTAGTAGGAGTATAGACAAATAAGACTGGTGACGAACTGATCATTTTGAAGTCAGGAGGGGGTACATGAGGGCACATCACGTTACTTTTTCTACTTTTGTATGTTTGATATTTCCATAGTAAAAGGATTCTTCAAAGTGAGAGCAAAGAAAAACTTCAACATATAAAAGAAATAATTTGTCACTAAAAGATAACTGCTAAAAGCACTGATGATGGATATGATTCACCAAAAAAGACACTAAATTCAGAAGAATGGAGTAGGATTCAAGAAGTAATGATGAGCAAAGCAAAGTGGTAAACGTGTAAATCAGACAGAAGTCAAGATGGCGGCATAGGCAGACTCTGAACTCACCTCCTCCCGCGGACACAGCCAATTTACAACTAGTTGTGGAAAAATTACTCCTGAGACAGAACTGAAAGCTGGATAAGAGGAACTCCTGCAACAAACGACAATCCTAATTGAGGTAGAAGAGGCAGAAACTCCCTTCTGGAGAGAAAAAAGGCCGCCTTCACAAGCCACCAGCTTCACGGCCACCCGGGAGCAGCCCAAAGGTATGCAGCCCTCCCTGGAGGAGCGGGGCCCTGAGCCAGGGAGCGCCCCCGCTGTGGGCATTTTGTGGACCCAGCACAATTGAGACAAGTGGCATCATATCTGACTTTGCCTGCTACTAAAACATTGGGGAGTCACCCCAGAAAAGCTGGTTCACAAAGAAATTAAAACCAGCTCTTAAAGGGTCCACGCACAAACTCGCCTGTTTAAGAAAGCAACCGAAAATCACCAGAAAGAAAGGTGCACAGTGCTTTGGTGAAAAGAGACTCACCTGATAGGCTCTGAGTGCATTGCTGTGAGAGGTGAGACCTCTTCAGGGACTGGGACATTGGCGGCGGCCATTGTTGTGGCCTACTGTGGGCGTGCTGACACAGACGCCATTGGAGTTCTCCCTGGGGCCTGCTAGCCCAGGTCTGCCACACCCACCAGAGCACCGATTTACTTATGTTTTTAAAGATTTTATTTATTTATTTATTTTCCCCCCAAAGCCCCAGTAGATAGCTGTATGTCATAGCTGCACATCCTTCTAGTTGCTGTATGTGGGACACAGCCTCAGCATGGCCGGAGAAGCAGTGTGTTGGTGTGCGCCCGGGATCCGAACCCAGGCCGCCAGCAGTGCAGCGCGCGCGCACTTAACCGCTAAGCCACGGGGCTGGCCCCTAGAGCACCGATTTAATCCAGCTCAGCCAGGGCAGGCAGCCCACCCTAGAGACTGGCCCCACCCAACAACAAGCCCTCAGGCAACTTTTGGGCCTGCATAGATTGGTGACTGGATTCTCTGCAGCCTGGCAACTGAGCCCACTTCAGTGGGGCAGGGCGCGCATAAGGAGCGGGTGGAGTGTGTGAGGCTCCTACCTGACAAGAGTTCAAACAAAGAGCACTAAGGATGCTCAATGATCTGGGGAGAAGAATAGATGAACTCAGTGAGAATGTCAACAAAGAAAGAGAAGATATAAAAAGAACCAATCAGAAATGAAGAATACAATACTGGAAATGAAAA